CCTGGTTCTTGGGGTGTGAGAAGTCTACCCATTTCGGGTTGCTTAGTACTGTGATGAGATCCGTGATCTGCTGGTCGATCCGAACATGGCGGCGTTCTTCGTCAAATCGCTCTGGGTCTTCGATCAGTGTACCGTATAGATACCGATATAAGTCCTCAGGATCCTGCGAAACCAATAGTTAGGATCATTCGAACCAAAGCACCCCGAGCACGATTGTTGACTGACATCTTCATTGAGGCCGCTCTCTAGGGTCTGTAACCGGTCCAGAATCTGTAGGAGCCTGATCTTCCGTGGCTTGACCTCGCTCGCGAATTGTGTAGGAGGCTGACTGGTCCTCCACTTGCTGACCCAGTTATTCAAAGTTGTGGTTCCTGCACTCTTGCCAAACGCGTACGCCATGCAAGGGTACTCGTGAGCCAGCCACGGAAACTGGCTATCAGACGCACCCGTCATGTTGAGCGAAATGTCCCTGTATGCCTCCTGCTGGAAAGATGCGCGGTCCGTTCGGCTCTGATGCTCAGCCTCCATGACCGCATAGTAGCGATCGTAGCCCGCTGGTGCGTTTGCTATCGCATCGCAATATCCCTTGAACGACGACGCACCGGCACATATGAGTTCCTCTGCCTGGTCAGGTTCCAGCGCATCCTCCGACGTGTATCCTTTCGGCGGCCATCGTCTTGACTTGCGGAAGTCCTCGAGCGGGGTGGGCTGGGAGTAGGATTCGGAGCGACGATGTGGGACGAGGGTCTGGTAAGGGACCATGTGGGCGTCTCCTCCGCTAGACAGCGGTCTTGTAGGGTTTGGCTCGGAGCCGTGTCTGGTTATGCGTGTGCGCGTGACTACGGGCGACGTTCGCGTTCTTGGGTGCTTTCCCACCTGCAGTTGCTGGAACCCATTTGTGAGTTGCGGGAAGGGCTCGGGGAACGCGTACGGGAGGGCAGACGGCGCTGGCGGTGCCTCGGGGCGAGGCGCGCTCCAAGGACTGTCGTACTGGTGTTTGATACCATCCCAACGGGTGTATTCCGAGTTCATCTCTTACGCATAGCACTCTGTGTTGGAGAATTACCTGAACCTCTGGTGCCAGTTAGTGAGTTGTCAATTACAGAGTGATCAAGCAGCATGGCGGAACTATCGACGAGCAACTTGAGCACGTGCGAAGGTTTCAGACAAGCCAGGGAAGTAAAGCCAGAGCTGGCGAGGAACACAGAGCGCTCGATTGGGTCCGTGGGCTCTTGTGACATATACACACTCACCCTCATAGTACTATAGTCGCGCTACTGCCGCCGCCGGAGGAGTAAGACGCGTCTGCCGCGGGTCGGGGTGGAGATCACGTCTGGATCGCGAGGTGCTCGGGGTAGCGCCGGCACACGATTGCTCTAATGTGACCTCGTAAAGACAGACGCGTGGAGAGTGTAGTGGGGGTGGAGAATGAAGGACGGAGGGTTTCAAGTCAGGTCATGTTCAACTCTTGGGTCAGGGTCACCACTACCTAAGCCGACATCGTTGATCAAGGTCGCGTGTAGCATGCTTCGGCTCTCCTGGCGCCGTGGCATTTGCAGGAACCTCCGTCGTCGCAGCAAAGGAGCGCGATAGCACGAAGAGCTACGCCATAGGGGTGGAGTGTTAGCCTCACTCTGCGGCACCCGTGCGTCTTACGACTGGGGTATGCTAGCAGCCGATTCTACTCGTCCACGTTACTCACGATGCATGCTCTTAGCGGCTTGACCGTGGTGCGTCTGCCAGAACACCATTCACAAGATAGTGGCATGCATATTGAAAGGGGTTGATGATTTAATTTTGCTCGTACTTTCCAAGTAATACTTGCTATTCAACTTTCTCACTCGCCTCGTGCATCCTGCGCTCGTCGTCTACTAAACAAGCGGTCACACGAGGGCAATGTTCTGCTTCATCCCTAGCTGTTCTGTTGCTCTGAAGCATGCCTTGCGCTTTTGATAGCTACGAGAGGCGTCGCTGTGACGGACCGTGCTGGTGGCATCGAAAAGATGCCTATGAGCGTGCTCGCTGATGGCACGAGCCTGAGATGATGTAGTGATGTGCCTCCGGCAGCTCGATAAGATCCCCCGTTGGAGGAGAGGCTGTAGGTGATAACTCCTGCCGAGTCATGTTCGCCAGCTCATCCACATCCAACCAGCCGTCGTCCCAGCCTTCCATACAAGGGCGGCCACGGTTTGGCTTGACATTGGGAACAGATAAGATAACCCGCAACGTCGTCTTCGCGAACTCGTGATTGCGACCAAAGCTATCGAGGTAGAGACGCTAACGGCATTTGGGAGCGTTTCATGAGCTGGCTTGATATCGTGGCATGATGCTGCTCAGCGCTCAAGAGCTTCCGTCATTATGTGCCTGATTGATTGGTGTGTATTCCTGTCGCTGATCCCGTAGGCGTAGTTACGTGGTTTGAGCTGGCTGCCGGTCCTGATTCCGGTTCCTTCTCTATAACGTAACCTGCGCCACGATCGACCAGACCTTTGTAGTAATCTACGAGTACTTCTGGCTTTGGGACAATGCGCCATTCGAGCCTCCGCAGAAACTCCAGCTCGAGTAGCGCCAATTCACGGACACTGACGCCGCCGACCCTTGCATATAGACTGTTGGTCCAAAAGCTGTCGCTAAGGCCTTTAGCTGCGACTGTCGCAGCGGTTATCAGGAATCGATGCACAGTAAGGCTGCTGATTGTGAAGGCGGGGTACATGGCGCACAGCTTGTCGACGTAGAAGACCATGGAGAGGAGAATAGGCGGGGACAGTGTAGCGTGCACTATGAGGCGGGAGAGATAGTCTCGTACTGAGATGCCCGGCGGGGCTCTGGGGATCAATATCAGCGAACACTGCTTCGGTCAGTCTTGGACGGACGCACCTGGAGTGGAATCGTGTAAGTGTGCCGTCGCGCAGCGGATAGCCGTCGTTAAGCCGCACCAATTCCATAAGCATGTCGGAGATGAGCACACCGAGGTCTTTGACGTCGCACGTCTCATACTGAAGGGGCATGACCTTGACGCCTGGCTCCTCGGGCCTCGCTCGCTTGGCTGGCGAGGCAGGAACCTGCAAGACAGTGCTTTGCTCTTTCTGCACCCCGGCTGGCTCTACTTCCGCATGCGTGCTCTCGTGCGACATGCGGCGACCCTGAGGTTGCACATTGTTCGCGGGCGCGATGGGCTGCGGACTTACCCGCACTTGGGGCTCGGGGGGCTCCGTGACGACAGGCGCGGCGGAGGTATCCCCCCGCGGTGTAGGCACAGTGGCAGGAGCGCTGGAAGACGTCGGGTCGGCCGTTTTCTGGTCCTGGTCCCGGTCCTGGTCGAGGGTGGAGATATCGAGAGCGATGTCGGCGCTGGTGCGGTTGCTGGGCTGCGGCCGGTAAGTCGGGGGAAACCCAGACGGCGAGTACTGGGTGCCCGAGTCGACGTATCCTCTCTTGCGGCTCTGAGGCGAGGGCGCAAACGTCGGGACTGGCGAGGGCGCCGAGAAGGCGGGCTTTGGGGTGGGCGGCGCGTCGAATCGCCGTGAGGCTACCGTGGTCACGGCAAAGCGGGGCGAGTGGGCGCTGGAGGAAGCCGATGTGCGTCGCGAGGCATGGTACGGGCGGTGGCTGGGCGTGTGGAAGGTCGTGTTCGGCGAGGGCGGTTGCGAGATTGTGGGTGAGGAAGTGATCATGTCGTTGTGCCGGGCTGGGGGTCCTAGGGTGGAGGAAGATGGCAAGATCGGGCAACCGCGGTGCAAATCATAGTCAGGCCTGAGGACGGTCACGGAACTGTTGGCAGGAACGTGGGGAAGGGAGGAACCATCGGCGAGGCTTCATCTGGCGTCGAGTGCGTAGGGCGGCCGCTCTTCCTTGAGCGAGGCTTGGCTGGCGTTCTGACGATAGCAGGCAGCGCCCACACCACGTGTGACGTCCGGGGATTTCTGTAGGCTGCCGGGCAAACCTTGCACCCTCTTGAACATCGGCAAACCATCCCATGGCTGCTTCTTCCTGTCTTGCGCAGCCTTTAGTAATTCTCACCGCATTTCCTGGCTGGTTGCGTGTAGGCGCATCGGCCCTGCGTGCCAACATGCTCGTCATCGCTGCGGAGCGCCTGACCGCCAATGATTAGCCATTAAGCCCTAGACATGGAGGGAACATCCTCTAATCAAAATTTCCAGAAGACGACAACCGATCGCTAGCTTCCGCTCGCACTAGCTTAGATAGTGTGTAGATTTTTGCTCTTGCGAAACTGCGCCAGTCTTCAATTCATTCAAGCCTGACTACACGATGAGCGTGATGTCACTTCGACAAAAAACATGCATGTTCCAGTCATCATCGCACAAAGCTGTCAACGCCTGGCAGAGTTCACTCACCAGACGACCGATCAACTGACAATTATCCTCGCTCGAGTACCCACTATGCGCGACGCGTCCAACTCCAACCTCAAAGTTACCTAACCCGCGGACCCTCTGCTATCTACCTGCGATAAACTCTGGTACCACAATGTCGCTAGCCGCTGGTTGCCGGCCCACGTTTTCCAATGCCACAACATCACTCGACGAGACGAGAGCCGCTTGGCAGGGTTTTACACAATAGGCCCGAAATGGTATCGTGTGGCAATTGCAGATGCAGTACATGATGGTTTCGTTGCTGTACGGTCTACCGTCAGCTAGACCGATCTTCTTGCTGCCGTGAGTTCCGAGAGCAGATCTAGTCTCGAGTCGGTTCGTGTATTACTTGTGTAGTCTCCAGTGTCGTTGCGAGAGTCGGACGTACAACAAAGGTGTGACTACACTTCACGTTATCGATAAGCTTGCACCATATAGATCTATTCTGTATTCTCTATTCGAGGTAGCCTGCATCGTATGATCCAGCCTCTACAACGGCGTCAAAGGTTTTTCATGCTTTAACACGTTGTCTGCACGAGTCCCATTTGGGCATTGCACTACTTTATTCAAATGGTATCGGACGAACATTGCATACGAGCTAAAGATGATAATTCAAATACATATCGCTCATCATTTTGGCTTATTGCGCCCAGATGCGTCCAATTCTGCCGAGAAAGACTGTTGCTCCAGCGGTGGACTGTGCAACTCTGCTACGGCAGGTTGCCCGTTCATCTGTGCATGCTTTGATTGGTCGATCCTATAACTATAGTTAGCGTGCATGTCTAGGCCAGGTATCTTTCAGATGAGTGGTACTTACTGTTGCTGCGACAACCCACTGACATTGCTCATCATACTCATATGGCCATGTTGGGGCCCAGGGCTGATCCAACCCGACGGGTACTGCTCTCCTACGTTGTGCTGACCGTATCCTGGGGGCGAGTTGAAGCCATAGTCTGGGTAGTGTCCTGGCGGTGGGGTAGCATAGTCAGGAGCTGGTGATTGAAACCCTGGCGATGAGAGTCCTCCATGACCGTAGTCCGAGCGACCGTACTGTTGGCTCATGTTTGGATCGTGGGTATTCGTACCATCTCGCTGTTTGATAACCTCCTTCAACGACTTGGATCGGCCTACAAAGAAGAAGAGAGCGGCACAGATTGCCAGGAAAGCTACGCCACCAAGTACTATGCCAACGATGGCACCAGTTGACAGGCTATGACCGCCGCCATGACCTCCCCCGTTAGATGGTGGCGGTGCTCCCGTTGACGTAGGAGCATTAGACAGCGTCGATGTTGCCTCACCAGGAACTGGTTCGCCGGGCGCTAGTTGAAAGTCTGCTGCGGCAGCCGCTTGGACTTGCGATGCCAGTGTCTGCGTAGAGTTCGGGTTGATGACTCCGACCATGTGTTCGCCCAGACACGAGTTCGGTGCTGCACAATAGAAGAAGATGGGTTCTGTCGAGTTGATCGTAACATTGAAGTATGTGAGCTGCGAGAGTGTTAGCGTAACTTGGCCGGCTGTTCATCGAAGGACCAACCTCATTCGTATTGTTCACCCATTGGGTCTCAGACCAGAACCCTACTTTGTCTTTTCCCGTATACTCATACGGTACGCAGGCTGATCCAAACTCAGCTCTCGCGACCGAATGATCCGGTGGATAAAACTCCCATTGAATGATGTCGCCCACGGAGACATTGTGAAGTTCTTGCGGTGTAAATTTGAAGCCTCCGGCGCCAGCTTTGATTGAGTGGATTGTTGGTTCACCCGACGATGTCGGTGTTGCAGTCGACGATTCTACTGCTTCCGAGGTCGTAGGTGTCGCCGATGAAGATTGTATATTGTTGGATGCTGTCTGTGAGACATCTTGCGCCATAGTAGACGAAAAGTAAAGTTGGCTGGTCGCGATGGCCACTGCTAGCCTTGCGGTCCACGAGCGTCTCATTGCTATGGTGGTGTGGCGGGTAGATAAGCACAATAGTAAGACCAGCCTCCTGCACAAAGCCCGTGATCTCTTAGTCCACTCAGTGTTCTGATTGTCGGGAAAATAAGAATGCAGTGCTAGCAGTGTAGCAGGCAGCATAAAGGCTCAAAGAAGGAAACAGAGCAGAGGTGACCCAGCAGGCTGACCCCAACCCTTAAGTCACTCTTCCGCCCATCTTGCTCGATACCGCTGTTTCCAGCCCCCACAGCCGCACTGCGGATAGTGGACCAAGCGACAGGCCACCTTCCTGTATCTGCCATCATACATAGCCTTTGTTCGTCTTATGCAACCAATCAGTACATTCAATGTTGCCGATCTGGCAGGCGCGCCCTTGTGCGGGCGCATCTGAGGCGTACAGCCATTGCAGCAACATGCCTGTAAATTCGCCAGCGGGGCGTGCCATCAGCATGTCAGCAGGGAATAAGAAGCACAGTCGATAGAAGGTTGGATATGTGTAACGGCAGCTAGTGCTGATGCTGGCCCATCACCACTTGGCCTATTTCCGTGCCACCATCTTTTTGACTGCGCCGCCGAGTGCATCAGTATTGACAATCTCGTTCCAACCTCGTTCTGAGGAATCTGGAGATGCTGGCCAAGGGCGCGTAGCAACTCTTTCCGCGTATCTAGTTATCGATTTGCGCTGTTCGCAGCTGCCATGCCGTCTAGATCCTTCTCGTACGCGAGCTGGCATGTGGTGGAGCACAGCTGAGTTGTCGTCAAGGAATGAGCATCGAGCGTTTGAGCCGCCAGCCTCGAGTGAGCTTAGCGTTGGTCAGCGACCCGGCCATGAAAGCGGGCCCGTCTGCTTGGCGCATGCATGGCTTGGGCGCAGTATGCTGATTGCGATGCGTGTGCGGAGTAATTGCTGTGGTGGGTGGAGGATCATGCGAGCGCGGAGCGGCTGTCGTGAGGCGTAGGGCTCGGCCGGTTCGATGGATAACGGTTGGCGTCATGATTAGCCATCTGCAGGGCTCGTTCCTAAGCGAGGCGCAAGCCGACCATCTTGAAGCGGCTCAAAGTACCGAGGTTTTGCATTGCATCGCATCAGCAAAGCTATCAATAAGACTTTCGTTCAACATCACAGTCATCATCGGGGTACTCATATTATCGAGGCGCAGCTGTCCTCTAGGAGATGTTGATTATTTGCGATTGAAGAAATGCAGCGCGCGTACTCAACACATAAAACATCAGACATCGCTTCATCGTACAGCGAAAAAGGTATGCCAGATACGCCAGGCCATGCAACGAATATGATGGATGCCGCAAATCACGCCATCTCTCGACCAGCTTCAAGTGGCTCAAAAGGGTGGCCTTTTGACGGGACTCCGTGGACTGCTCGCACTGAACAAGCCCATTTGAGGCATCTTAGGGCTCTTTAACAGATTCGAGGCGGCTTCTTGCTCAAACCGCCTAGATGTGTGTGACGCGCTCGCTACAGGCGGGCTTCGCAGCCCTGCGGCCGTGTTCTGCGGCCCCTCGTCAGTACGACTGGAAATGTCATTCATCTCTTCAAACTCGCTCTTCTTTTCCAAAAGTAGGCTTTGCACTTCATCCAAATGCTGCTCGAGCATATCGTCTAAACTGTCCTTGGGCGATTGGATAAGGTTGCCAAGCTTCTTGCGCATCTTGCGTTGACGGCTCGGATTCCAGACGAAGTGGCTGTTCTTCACGAAGATCATAGAGTGCTGCGAATCTTAGCTGGTATCATGTTGTAGTCTTCAAGCGTACTTACGGAGTAGTACCAGCTGGAAATGGTGTCGTCCGTTGCTCGTTTGATGGACTGAATAGTTGTTTCTCCCACAAATCCGATTAAGCACTCGACTGGGCTATCCGGATCGGTGCAGTTTTCTGTAAAGTCAGTCGCTGCTCTGGGAAGGCAAGCTGCGAGAGGACTTGGGATGCTTACCGTTGTGGCTCAGTAGATCAACAAGTCCAAGATACGCATCGCCGATACCCATGAAGAACACTTGCGTCGCCTCGTTTGGTCTATTCACACGTTAATGATTGATTAAAAGCGCGTTCTGAGAGACTTACTCAATATAGTTCTCCCACAGATACGCTGCAAGCTCGCGGGTTTGCTGCGCTCGGACTGCGGAATCATCGGATCTTGTGTAGCCGATGATCGACTGACTGTGATTAGCAAGCTGTTTCGGCAAAAGCATCGCGAAAGCTCACGTCTTCCACTGCAACGACTCTCGGAATATTGACATCAATGACTTGAAAGTCATTGTTGATGGCCCAGTCAATATACCTCTTCGTAACATCAGTCTTCATCCAAAGTCAGCGATTACACAGTGCGAGACTGCAGCCGTACTCACAAGCCATGTGTTGTGCAGTTCTCTCTTACCAGTCACCGGATCGGTGTGGTCTTGGAAGCTCGGCGGGTCGTGAAAAATCACGAGGAGAGGATACCGGTCCATGAACTTTGGTCTGTACTAAGTCAGGATCTGCGGGGATTATAAGGAGAATGAACTTACGTTGCAATGATATTATGTTCAAACGTCTGGGATAAGCCAGCCTTGTTGATTTGGAGTGGAGGAAGAGGAACCATGGAGTGTTCTGATGACAGCCGCTGACTCTGCCATTCGCGGATGATTTCGTGCAATCGATATGTATCTTTGTAGCCAGGGTCGGTTTTGTCCAGGTGTTTAGGGTAGAGGGACTTCCAGTACTTGGAGTGCTGGCGTTTCACGTTCTCTATGACGTAAACCGCACTATCCTTTGGGGCTGGAAGATCCTCGTTCAGGCGATCCGGCGGCTCCAACATGAGTACCCTCGTCACGGCTAGCGCCGAGCGCGCTATTGATCTGAGATTGTAACCACCTTCGAGGCACACCACGATTTTCCCCTTTGCTAGTCGCATAAGCATATGTGTCATGTGACCGTAACACGCTGGTGTGACGAAACAACCGCCCAGCAGGTCTCCTTCGGCTGCATCGAAACCGGCCGAAACTATGACAAGATCCGGATCAAACTCAGTAGCAATGGGCATGACAATTTCCTGGAAAGCGTAGAGATATTCTGAGTCGCCCATGCCGTGTTCCGCCCAAGGGATATTCACATTCTTCCCCTCACCAGGACCTTTGCCGCAATAGTCAAGATTACCGTCCTTCAAGTTGGGGTAGAAGTTTCCGTCTTTGTAGACATGCAGCGATATGTAGAGTACGTTTGGATCCTCGTAAAAGGCATGCTGGACGCCATTACCGTGGTGAACATCCCAGTCCAAGATCAAGACCTTACGGCAAGTTTCCGGATATGCATTCTGACAGACCCGGGTAGCTATCGGAACGTTGTTGAAGATGCAGAATCCCGAAGCCTGATCTGTTTCGGCATGATGCCCGGGAGGACGAATGATGGCGATTGCGTTGCGCACGATTCCTTGTACTACCGCTTTACAGGCCTCGATGGCTCCTCCAGCTGCGAGCTTGGCGCATTCATAGGTCGCATGGTTGAAGTAAATTGAGTCGCGATTGGAGGCCTCCATTTTAAGATCTTCCACAGTCATGTCTAATAGCAAAGTTAGTCGAGTTCTCTTAATGTTATCATAAACCTACCCTGCAATGACTCTACGAATGCGTAATGCTCTTCCGTGTGTATCAGAAGGATTTCTGGTCTCGTAGCGAAGCGCGTCATGATCCTCCAGCACTTGTCTTCTTGGTCTTCGTCTAAATCACTAGTCGCCAGTAGACCAGCTTGCCTAATCTCTTCATAGATGGAGTGAATACGACGCGGATCTTCGGGATGGATATCATCAATGAGATCCATGTCAGGTAGCTCGGCGTGAAAGCGCATGCGAGAGTCGTAGACGAGGCCTGTTTTGTTCGTCGCATATGGAAGAATCGATGATCTCGGTTTTGGGGGTATGCGAACTTGCGGACTTGATCGCCTAACAGGAGTAGGGCGCGACATGCTCATCTTATCCGACCAGCCACTCGGTGACTTTGTCGTTCGATGTGATCCAGCCTGGCTCTGCGTGGTACTAGGTTGCAGAAATGAGGGGTTCTTCGATGGGCTGTGAAAGGGGAGTTGCTCTCTTTTAGATAATGGTGGCCCTTTGATGTTCGCAAAAACTTCAGACGGGTTC